GACACAGATGCACTTCTCATAAACACACGTCCAGACCGGAATAATAAGAGGGACACACCGTCACGTACGCAGGGCATATGCACGTTTTCCGCCAGTGGTACCGGCTACTGTTAGATTTCCCGCTTAGGTAATACTGGGTAACGAGGCAGTGAGAGGTTTCTATGGCAGAGGGAAGGAGAAGACTGTTACAGTGCAGTCGGAGAGTAAGTTGGAGCTATGCCAAAGGTTAGAAGCCGAAGGTCAGGGGTGAGTCACCCAAGGGGCGGATAAGGCAAGCTGTAGTGTCCCGAATAAGTCCTCATACTTATTTTGTAAGGGTACCTTAATCGGTACTGGACAGCCTCAGGGGAGGTAACGATGTACTCCAGGACACGTAAGGCCTTGAAAGTAAATCCCAGGGTTTAAGGAGAGTTCCTGAGGAGAGTTCCAGGATATGAACGGTGGTCCCTGGGTCGTGAACGGAGGTGTTACACGCGGACCGGAAGAGGGCATTGGTAATCTCTCCCGGATAGAGAGATAAGTCGGATGTAAATCGCGTATATGTGTATACCATAGGTCTATCGGACGTGTGTGGATCCCATAAATTAGTAGGGTGGATATTTGTGTATGATCATTCTGGACGGCCCTGCGATAAGTATCTTTGTCGCCGGTTAGCGGAGCATGCATATGGATTTCGGAAAGAGACATTTATCTCGCCGGGGAGACCATGGTTTGTAAGACGCCTAACACTATCGGAGGGAATTTCGGGGGCTACCAATTAAATTTGGGTGAATACATGAAATGTGAACGTAATGCGAGCAAGGATGTGAGAATGATGACGCATGAATCTTAGAGTAAGGCCGATAGGAATTTGGTAGAATTCCGTTATGGCAGTCGAACAAATGATTCTCGAGGGCAACTAAACTAGCAAAGCTAATACGAACTAAGTGGGCAATTTTCGTAATGGGGAGGCCAGTGATATAGGAATGGGTGACTGGACGAATGATCACATTCAATTAACCAATTTAATTACCACCCATGTTTGGCAGTGGTCATCGGGACTTCGAATGCCCTGTCCTTCACCATACCCAACTGTGCCGCAAACCCAGCTGATCGGATCCCTCTATCCCTAATCCGAGCAGTGAAGAAGCATCTCGTGCATCATGGTCTATATGTTGCGGGCCAAGTGCGAAGGCTAGTCCATTCGCGAATGGCCTAGTCCAAGTGCGATAACGCACTTGGACTAGGCCGTTTGCGAATGGACTAGTCCATGTGTGTTATTGCAGTTGGCCTAGGCCGTTTGCGAATGGACGGGCGTTTATGCTCCCAGTCCAAGTGCGAAGTCAGGCCAAGTGCGAAATATCCAGCAAAGTGACGTCAAATTGGCAAGTCAACTTGGCATGTGTAAAGTCCCGTGTGAAATGATGCGTGCAAAGTATTTGGCTTTGCTGCGCGCCGCCGTTTTCTCGTGATCTGTGAAAAACCACAGGGGGTTGAAAGCAACCCCCCTGCAGTGCGCGTATTGTTAAATGCAATGCAACACAACAGTTTTTCGAACACTCACCGCACCGCACTCACCACACACAAGCCGCACCGTCCCGGTACACCACACCAGAGCAGAATGAATCGAGCGCCACAAACTCGACCAAGGTCAGGTCGGGTCATCAGCGGGGAGCCCGGAGCACGGTACTAATGATCTCCGCACACCACGCGACTCTCCGCTGTTCGAAGGTCACGGGGATATTTGACGTCCCCAGATCCAGATCGGTCGCCGAAGCCTGGCCAGCGGCAACACGTTGCTATAATTTCCGCGTTGTGCAGGGTTCAGCGGAAAGTCGCATCCCGAATGGACCAGGTGTGTGGAGACCTTAACCCAGAGTTACGCCAGCTCGCAGATCTGCTCCGGAGAACAAACTAAACATAAAACAATATAGACGCAGTGGCGTCGCCACGGATTTTCGACTAGGGGATCTGGTCGGACGGTCAGTTAAAGTAATCCCCACCAAATACTGAAAACTCCTCGGATTTAGACAATTTTATTTTGAGAATGCACCAAAATCGTTTTTAAAATTTTTTATTTTATTCCCGATCGATTTTCGTGGCCAAAAGTGTGTGTGTGAGGGGGGAGGGGGGGGGGGCGTCGGACCGGCATATTTTCAAGAATGTGTGTGTGGGGGGGGGTCCGGATCCCTCTGACCCCCCCCCCCGTCGGCGACGCCCCTGCATCGACCAGCGGTCCCCCATTCATTCGGAATCGTACCCCAATCCGAGGATCCATGCTTCCGGCGGCTAAGTGCAACGCCACAAACCCGTCCGTTCGCAAACGGCCTAGGCCATTCGCGAATGGCCGGCCATTCGCAAACGGACTAGTCCGTTTGCAAACGGACCGCCATTCGCAAACGGCCTAGTCCATTCGCGAATGGACTAGTCCGTTCGCAAACGGACTAGCCTTCGCACTTGGCCCGTAACATATACAATGAACAGAATCATCAAGCCTCTAAATCAAAAAGCATCTTCCATCAGATGTATTTGTATGCAAGGTGGATCGATATCTACATCTCTCCCAGGTGGACGTCAACCAAGATCTCTATCTGGATACCTACATCTCCCTCAGGTGGATCTCTATCTGGATATCTACATCTCTCCTTCAGGTGGATCTACATCTCTATCTGGATCCATACATCTCTGTCAGGTGGATCTCATCTATCAGGATCTCATCACTATCTGGATCCCTCCCTATAGCTATCTCAGGATCTCTTCAACGATTCTCAGGTTCCCCTGTATCACCAGCTCTACTATCGAGTCATCACAGCAGCGAATTGTTCTTTTTTTCATTTTTTTTTTTTTAAGCTTTATCGGTGTATATTTTTCGGATACATGGTGTGCCGAGCGACACGAACACATCCCACGTGACACGATGACACGACGCGGCGTGGCGCGTACATCACAACAGCCTGGCCGCCGCTCAGCACTAGCTACCGACGACTGGGACGCGGCGACAGCACGCAAATCATGGCAACTGGCAAGTATGGACCCTGAATCAAGACGAGAGCACTGCTATGAGCTTTAAAAACAATGTATAAATGCATTAAATAATCCATAGCAGAGCAAACAAAACAATAACAAAATAACTGCGCCAAGATTCCAGTCATATCTTTTTTTAATTTTTTTACACGTGACCGCAACAAAACGAAATACGCGGAACGCAAAAACAAGAGCAGCTCACAATGAAAACGAAATAGCAGTGAATGGAACATAATGACAAAAAAGAGCGTTTGAAAGTAGGGTTAAAGCGGAAGAACCGAACAGGCGGGTCCCCGGCGGCAGCGGCGGCAGCTGCAGCAGCCGATCACCCGCCAGCGCCAGCGGCAGCGGCAGCGACAGCCGGGCGGGCGCCGCGCTCACCCCTCAATATCGGACTAGTTAATGGCCGTCTCCAGACCGGCGCGTGGGCCAGCCGGCGCACGCCCCCCGCAGCTAGCCCGCCACCAGCATCATCTTGGGGAACGCTGAAAGATAGAGGACTGGATTCTGGGGATGATAGGATAGGAAGCTAAGGATCACACGCAGTAACCTCAGAAGCATACCATGTACAGCAATGCGCTGCTTTTGTGAATGTTGTGACGTTGTGTGGATTGATACATGAATGAGTTTTGGATTAATGATTTTAAGTTTTTGAATGACTGTAAGTAAGTTCTCTAAGTCGTTCTCTGGTTTAATGTAGTTTCCGGCTGAATGTCGCACACTTGTTTGACTTTGTCCCATTTCTTTTCGAATGTGTGTAAGAGATTTGACTGCTTAGCCTGCTTAGCCATGTATAACTCGGCTTCGGCTTCCCTTTTAAGTTTATTTTTGAGAGATACTATGTTTGGAACTATTTCATTGTATCTAGCTTCATAAATAACTATGTTCGCTAATGCTACTATAACTATTTCTATGTCGTCTAAATGTTCAAAGAAAAACCACGATTTCGGGCTTTCTAGATTGATCGCTAATGATCTCCCAAATGCTATTTTTATAGATGTTATATATGATTGTACTATTGGACATGCCCAGTACATATGTAATATTGTTTCACATTCCTGCTTGCAGAATGTGCAAGAATCGTCATCTTTAAGCCAGACTGATTTGAAGCTGCTCAACAAGCTGATCATGGTACCCCAGTTTAACTTGCTGCCTTTCGAAGGACTCTAGCTTTGAAATGTGGGAGTGGATGCACGCCAACGTCTACAAAAGAGGTTAATCAATAGGTCATTCTATTATTTTCGAAAATGCATGGCAGGTGTAAATTTGTTAGAGCGAATCTTAAGCTGTGTGTTATGAGTTTTCATGCATCCGCATTCCGCATGCACATACGGCATACGGAAAGATTTGCCTTCTAATTACTTTCAGCCGGAAGAAAATATTATTCGAAACCGATTTTGCAGTTTGCATATCAAATACTTACAATGAAAGTATCATATAATACATTATTTGTTGATGAGCGTCCTTTATGTTTAGAGTATGACCTCCCAAAAAGACTGGTCAAAAGATGATTGTGTTCTGTTGTGTGTAAGCGAAGGAAGCGCCAGCGTGAAACATTCTGCAACGAGACATAGCGCAAAGAATAAGAAAAGCAGTGTCTTACCTTGCTTGTCTTATCTAAAGCGTTGTAATTTCCACAACCTTATGTTTCATGAAATAATGTAGGCACTTATAAGTAGCGTGGGAAAAGCCGCGAATTGCTTCCTGCGCGATGGTGCTGCTCTCCATTGTGGGAAGTTTAAAGGTGGTTTGCGTGATTAAACAAAATTATAGTCGTTTTCTGTATCCAGTGCTATCTTTCTCAGGGCGAACATAAAAGTCGTCGACTACTTTGATCGTTTCCCGAAAAATTGGCTCTTTGCATAACTACCGATCAGCAAAGAGACACCAGCCCAGACTCATTAGCTAGAGATACAATAAGAATGAGTTCTTCCATTCTCTAGCCCCTATCATCTGGGGGAGGGGGGGGGGGACGGGACGATGCGTTGGCGACTGACCTTGCTGTCGTCGAGGCCCATGGTGCGTCGTCTGTCGGTCCTTCAGTGCTAACCGGTCCTGGACGCTGCCCTCGCTCAGTCGGCGGGCCAGAGTCGGGCGTACGGGCCGCCGCGTCAACCGAGTTACTGCTGGAGGTCACTGGTGTCCCTCGGCCTCTGCGCCCGGCGTCCGCTCGTCCACCGTCCGACCGTCCTGCAGCCGGCGCGCGTCACTCCGAGCTCCGCGCGGCGACTGGCAAAGCGCGCCGAGACTGGCCGCCGCGAGTGCTCACCTGCCCGAGTGACGTCACTCGGGCAGGTGGATGACGTCACGGAAAGACCGGCTGCACGTGACGTCTGCACGTGAGGTCAGAAGAGGCAGTGGTGAGAGATACCTGTAGCTTGTGCACGCTTTTTTGAGCGAGCTTTCAAGATGTTTCTGATGACAGGCCGCGTTACAACTTAACAGAAGGCATATGCGTATTGTGTAAGAGTAGGGACTTTTTAATGTTTTCCATGAGTACGGGTTAAACGTACTGCTTATTTTTTAATAGTTCAACGGTGGTTCCGGATTAACTCGGTTGTGGTCGAAATACCTAGTTATTTTGAAAGAATGCCGGGGTCGATGCATCCTGGATGATGAAAATAACTACTTGTAATTTACCGCGTACTAAGAACTCACCTAACTACCCGGCACCGGTAGATCTTACGGTAGGTGAACATAGATCCCTGAGCTGATTGGTATTTATCCGGTTCGAGCCGCTCCAGAGATCATTGTTTCCTTCTGCCCGAACTGGCCAGTGATCAACGTCAGTCCTTGTACAGCTTATGTAGATAACCCTCGTCGGACCTATTGGTTTTCTAACATACGCGCCGGCCGAGGGAGGGGGCGGGTACGACCCCCTTCGCCATTTTGCCCCTGATGGAGCTAGAGCGTCGCGAAAAATGAGCGTGTGCCGATACGAGACACAGCGATTGGTACCCGATTTTAAGGTCTCAGGTCAGCCGGTGACCTCGGAGGTCAGGTCAAGTGGACCAAGGTAAGGGCTCGGTTTTTGGCAAATAACTTCGCAAAAATGGCCGCAGAGCCGCAACTTTGGCATCATCGTGTTCGCCTTGCTCAGGCGCGTCGAATGGTATACCTACTTTTTGTTTGAGTGAGGTCAACTTGAGGTGTTGACCTCGGGTCACCGTCAGGTCAGACCCCCCCCCCCAGGTCACGAACTTGATCGAACTTTTCTCATAGCTCGTGAGAACTAACAGAGCTAGAACATTGCAAAAAAAAAAACATTTGATAATTCTTTTAAGGCTCGTTCGCGAATACGATTTCAGATGCGAATTAAGATCAATCGCTTGGCCTCAAGGGGGCCAAAAAGATAAAGGTAGCTACTTTCAGACAGCTCTTAACCCGTGCACCGACGGGGGCGGATATCCGCCCCCTGAGGTTTTTCGTAGATAGCGGAAAAACCGCGGCGCTTAGCGCCGCGAAATTTGGTACGACTATTCTCTCATCAATTTTACACATGGTGTGCAAGTTTGAACCTCCTAACTTCTAAGGTCAGGTCACCAGGTCCTTTGAATGACCCAACCTCAAGTGACTTTTTTGCAACTTTGTCACCGTGCCAGAGCTACAGTAGATGTCGGAGGCCTTTGAAAGTCGCAGGATGTCATAAGGTCATCAGTAGCTACAATTTGTTCATCTCGGAATTTTGATATCGATGACCTAAGGTCAGGTCAATTTCTCGACCTCCCCATTATAAGTCAATGGGGGAAAATGAACTCCCTGTTTTTACCACTAAAACGGGTCGGAATGGCCCCATAAACCGTACATGACTTCATATACGATCAACCTTCACTACCTTGAGGTCTGTTTTGCTGTTGGGCAGCTGTAAGGTCATGTGACGTCATCAAAGGTCACCAAAGGTTGTTTGCCAATAACTCCGTACAGGAACAAGATACAGCCGCGCGGATGGTCTCATTGTGTTCAGCTCGTCAAGGCACAACGAATGATATCCACGATGACCTCAAGATCACGTGACCTGAGGTCAATCTTTGACCTTGATCTTTCGAGGTCAACATATATATCATTCGATGCGGATCGACGAGAGGATCACGATGATGCCCTTAGTTTGTTCCTATTTTGACAGTTCGAAAGTTATTCGAGAAACATTACACTCCATATCTAGCGCCACCGTTCTGACGTTTTTGAACCTTGTGACGTCATCCTTGACCTGACCTGAAAATGACCTTAGTAAAAATTGTAGACCTTGTCCGTGCGTATCCCATGCCGCTTACCGCTTGTCGCTATTTTGCTTCGTTCTCGAGATCTCAGGGGGGCGGTCATCCGCCCCCCGTCGGTTCTAAGTCGGTGCGCGGGTTAATCCGTTTAAAGTCGGAAGTGAATTGCCAGAGCCGGCCAGGACCCAGCTGTGCGTTGCGGTGCGGACCAGGCTTTTAGAGTCGTCGGTCGCATGACTGCGGTGCCGTCGTCGTCCCCTCCCGACCCCTGCAGGTGGCGCTATCTGTCGAGGTCCAGACCCATGGTGTCCGCAGTCCGTACCGCAGCGCCGCGCCGCGCTGCCGTCGCCGTTCTGACCTCTGCAGGTGGCGCTATCTGTCGAGGTCCAGATGGGGTACTTTAATCCTTCGTACTTTTGCTTACGTACTTTTGTCCTACGTACTTTAGCGATACGTACTTTTGTCCGTAACCCGGGGTTTCCGCCCCGCAGCGCCGTACCGCAGCGCCGCGCCGCGCTGTCGTCGCCGTGCCAGTCGCTGTAGATGGCGCTGTTTGTCGAGGTCCAGCCAGACCGGCTGTCCGCGCATCGGCATCATCAGACCGGCAGACGGGCGGGTTACGGACAAAAGTACGTATCGCTAAAGTACGTAGGACAAAAGTACGTAAGCAAAAGTACGTAGGATTAAAGTACGTATCGTCGAAGTACGTACAGTATAAAGTACGTATGGACAAAAGTACGTCAGGGACAAAAGTACGTATCGCAGAGGTACGTACAATATAAAGTACGTATGGACAAAAGTACGTCAAAGACAAAAGTACGTATCGCAGAAGTACGTACAGTATGAAGTACGTATGGACAAAAGTACGTCAGGGACAAAAGTACGTATCGCAGAAGTACGTACTGTATAAAGTACGTATGGACAAAAGTACGTCAGGGACAAAAGTACGTATCGCAGAAGTACGTAGGGTATAAAGTACGTATTGACAAAAGTACGTCACGGACAAAAGTACGTATAGCTAAAGTACGTAGGGTAAAAAGTACGTATGGACAAAAGTACGTCACGGACAAAAGTACGTATCGCAGAAGTACGTAGGGTATAAAGTACGTATGGACAAAAGTACGTCACGTACGAAAGCCTACGTATAGCAAATGTACGTAGGGTATAAAGCCTTGGGCAAGACGCCCCAGATAATTTATTCTGCTACATAGGTGCCTACTTTTGTCTCACATCACCTGGAAGGCCAAATTTGTGCTCAATGTGTTCTTTGGACATTTTACTTCAAATTCCACCCCTCAAATTCATTCACTTATGATCGGACTCCCAGCTAGGAAGTGCTTTGTGAAGCAACTGCAAATGGGACATTTTGCCCCAAACCCAGGGCAAAACGTCCCACGGCCTGAGGCAAGAAGCCCCATACACTAGATCAGGGGTCGGCAAATGGTGGGGCATGCCCCCTTTGGGGGTAATGGAGCCCCTCGGCGGGGTGTAACGGGGGCCTCTGAGAAAGCCTTATCTTAGAATTAACGTCTCCCTTGATGGGACAGACATCACGCCTGTTTGGTCACAGGGTTCAAAGATCGAACGCTAACCGTCGCCCCTCTATTGGCGTTTTCATAACAGCTAACGTAAACGGGGAGGGGCCGGTCGGACCCCAACCTCTCGGCCTCTGAAATCTGAACTGGAGCTTTGCAGTAGAAAAATGAACGTGCTACCCGTGACGATAGGAAGACGCTGCTACCCAATTTTAACCTTTGCACTTATAGGGGACCCCCCCCCCCTTTTCCTCGGGTTTTCGCGAATAACTCGCGCAAAAAGCGGCCGATCGCGATGACATTTTCAGTACAGGTTTATCAATTTTATACATTGTAGCTAGAATTTCGCAACCATTTGAACATATACCAAGTAATTTTGGTGCCTTCGTAACATGTTACGAAGGCTGTCAGTGGTTGTTGATGCCTACTATAAATACCCGACAGGACGCATATTGGTTGACCTGACCTGACCCGACATGGCCTAAATACACGAAGACATCTCTGATCAAAACTTAGATAAAATTCGTGATCAGTACCCCGACAAACTCCATGAACATCCTCACTTTACGAAGTTCTGACAGGTCTCGATTTTCCGACTTTTTGGGTCATTGAGCCGACCTGGAAGGTCAATCAATGACTTAGGACCTTAAAATCGCGTATCATCAGCTTCCTCTCGTCACGGGCAACACGCCCGTTTTTCCGCGAAGCTCATGCTTGATCAGGGGCCGAACGACAAAGAGGGGTCTAACGAATTTCTCCCCCCATAAATTAGCGGCTGGCAAAACACCAATACGGGTGACGGTTAACTTCCTTGGCCATTGGGTGACTTAAGAGTTTCAAAGGGTCAATGACAATTGTGTAGTAGATCAGAACCCGCTGTACCTTCTAGAATTGAAATTTATGACCTTCCGTGATCTCAAGAAACAGCTGCCTAACAAGTCAACAGTTATTTCTGTCAATGTATGACATGTTTTATGGCAGATAAAAAAATGATCGGCTCGAGGGTAAAATTGTGTCGTGATCCGACGTTTTTACATAACCAGTATAGCGCCTTTTGGGGCGACTAACGGAGCGAGCGAGGGGGTGAGTCTTGCACGTGCGAAATTTCGAGGGGGTACCTCCAACTGACTTGTGCACGGCACCCTACTGACCGGTTTCTAGCAATGTGCCAAATTTGAGCACAATCGGCCCAGCCGTTCTCGAGATCTGGGAGCGGCACCCTGCACGTGCGCACGTGCAAAATGGGTCCCAACTGACTTGTGCACGGCACTCTACTAACTGGTCCCTAACTGTGTACCAAATTTGAGCGCCATCGGTCCAGCCGTTCTCGAGATCTGGAAACGACCCCTGCACGTGCGCACGTGCAGCAGCACCCCAACTCTGGCACATGGATATGCAGTGCCTAGTGGGTGCCTACCTACATGCCAACTTTCAGCGCAATCGGCCAAGTAGTTACCGAGATATTGCAACAATTACAAAAGTGACACCTCTTCGTTTTGCACGTGGCACGTGCATAAGGGGTCACCCACATGCATCGGGAATAGTCCAATACTTGGTAGAAGGAATGAAGCTACCCTACAAAAATTACCGCATGTAAATCGGTCAAGTGGTTGCTGAGATATAAGCCTCGCAAAAGCGTCCGCACGGCCGGCCGGCCGGCCGCTCATACTCAGAAATTTCCGTTAATCTAAGGAAAGACTACGCTCGCTTCGCTCGCTCCGTTACCCGAAATACCCAAAGAGTCACGGAAAGGTATGACATTTCAGTGAGCTCGGTTGTGTATGCAATGGTGTCTGGTAGGGTGGGGGTAATGGCCCTGCCTGGCGCCCGAAAAGGGGGCAGGACCCCGGAGGGCCTGCCGACCACTGCACTAGATTAACCCTCGCGGGCCCGGGGGGGGCGTTTTTCGCCCCCCCCCCTGGCGAATATTTGCGATAGCTCCCGAACGCTTAGGGATAGGAAAGCGAAACTTGCAGTACCTTTTCTTCCATCAATTTGACATCTTCTGAAGTAAAACAATTTGGACCTAGCCCCATGATGACGTCACAAAGTCGATTTTTCTAGACCCCTGCATGGCAAACTTCGGTGTCAAAGACGTGAACTTCAAATAGCTGCTAAAAATAGAGTTTTAGAGATAAAGACAAATTACGAGCACGGTTGTGTAGCATTTGACCTAGAGAAAAATACAAAAATAGCTTAAGTGACCTGAGGTCAGAGGTCAGGTCAACGACCCCGAGCTGTGGTTTTAGTTTTTGGCAAATAACTTCGACAAAAATGGTCCTAGAGCTACGGCAGTGCAGTACCATCGCATTTGCCTTGTCAAGCCGCGTCCAATGATATATATTTGTTTGGAAAAGGGCAAGTTTTATGTTGACCTCATGTGACCTCGAATGACCCATCCATTTTCCTCTAAGCCTTTATTTAGAGCCTCCGGATGGCAAAATTGTCTTATTTATTATTACTAACTTGAATCAGTGAAATAGCCTCTAGCAAGGACTCTCTTCTGTGACCTTTGAGCAGCCTTGTATCATAAGATGAACCACAAATAAGGACCTGATAAGCCTCAAAACATTTCAAAACATCTGGAAGTTGACACGCAAGATGTACGAAAAAGTGCAAAGTTTGAGGTCAATTTTGAGCATGACCTTGACCTTGACCTTTGGTGTTGAGCACATTTTCGGAATTCTCAGATTCTCTTCTTTCGTTTGACACCCAATTTTGCCAGTTTCATGCATCCTGCCGTCATCAAGAACGCTCACTTTCAGATCACTACACATGTGCCGGTTTTTGCCTTTGACCTTGACCTAGGACCTTGAAAATTGACCTGAGGTCAAAAGTTTTAGGTGTTTTAGAATCGTCTCGTAAGGACCTTTCGTTTGGTATCGCTTTTGTTTGCGTAGCTTCCTTATTTACGGAGTTAGACAGGGGGCGAAAAACGCCCCTACCCGGGCTGCGGTGGTTGGAATTACCCCCCCCCCCCCGGCCCGGCCGGGTTAACAGAAGGGAGGATCTTTCTTCAGAACCCTGCCAGTTCCGAGAAACATCGGTGAGGCGTTTTACCTCGGCGGGGCGACTTGCCCCGGTCTATACCCTACGTGTGGACCAAAGTACGTCACGGACAAAAGTACTCATAGGAAATGTACGTAGGGTACCCCACCCTTGGGTTAAGTTGATCAATGTGTAATACCTTTCTTATTCTTTATTTAATGAGAATTTGTTACAAGGCATAGCAAAATTTCTCGATGAGTAAATGGGCGAAATGGACAAAGCTATATTATTTGGTATAAGAATTTATCATGAGTTCCCTGTAGTATGGCAACAGAGCAGCAATAAAGAAAAAGTGTCTCAACTTACACTACTATACCCTACTTCTAGCATACGTACTTCATACTGTATACACTACGTACTTTGGCATACGAACCGTACGTACTTTTGGCATACGTACTTTTTACACTACGTACTTTTGCATACGAACTTTTGCGTACGAACATTTGCGTACGTACTTTTGGCATACGTACTTTATACACTACGTACTTTTGCACACGTACTTTTGCGTACGAACATTTGCGTACGTACTTTTGGCATACGTACTTTATACACTACGTACTTTTGCATACGAACTTTTGCGTACGAACATTTGCGTTCGTACTTTTGGCATACGTACATTTTACACTACGTACTTTTGGCATACGTACATTTTACACTACGTACTTTTGCATACGTACTTTTGCGTACGAACATTTGCCTACGTACTTTTGGCATACGTACTTTATGCACTACGTACTTTTGCATACGTACTTTTGCGTACGAACATTTGCGTACGTACTTTTGACAGACGTACTTTATGCACTACGTACTTTTGCATACGTACTTTTGCGTACGAACATTTGCGTACGTACTTTTGGCATACGAACTTTATCGCCTACGTATATTTGCGTACGAACATTTGCATACGTACTTTTGTCCTACGTACTTTAGTGATACGTACTTTAGTCCTAAAATCCAGACGGGCAGACCGCGCCTCGGAACGGTTCATAGTCCCTCCAAAGGAGCCAGGTGGGGGAGTGGCGCAGCGTGCAGAGCAATGCATTGTCACTGTCGGGTCTGTCGCTATAGTTGTTTGGTGTCAGCCTACTGCCTAGGAAAGGAACATATTCACTTGCCCAGCGCATTTTCTGCGCACTAAACCTCACTCAGAAAGAGGACGGTGCTGCCTCCCGCGACTCCTGCCCTGCCCTGTATGCATTCCGTTTACCCTCATACACAGTCCATTGTGATTCTTGTTCATATTTCCTTGTTCCGGACTGATGGCCGTCACCCCTTCCTGCAGGCAACCAGTACGGGATAGACCCTGCCTGATCAATGGATTCTCGCCGGCGGGATCGTTCCAAGCGGTTGGGTGGCCACTGACCAGTTCCATCGGGGCGAGGCGGTCCTTGACTCGAGACGGGCTCAGTCATCAGTCCGTGCGACACGTCAGTCGGTGGCCAAAGTAACCCAATGTCTTCATTTATCTATCCGGCCATCCTACGGTCCTGAAACTGTTGAGAAAACCAAACGGACAAAGCAAATGAAACAAAATATCTCAACTTTCATCTAGATCACTTGAGTCTCAAGCGAGCAGAGGAGTTGAACGCTAAGAGGAAACAAGTTGACGCTAATGAAAAATTCAAAGCTGACTCTTTAACCCGCGACCGCCTGGGGGGTCGGATCCGACCCCCCCTCCGTTTTTCTTGAATAACTCATGAACCACTTTCGCTATCTACTTGAAACTTGGCATACTTTCTCCCCCATCAATTTGACGTCTCCTGTGCAATTTTTAAGAAAAAATTTCCAAAATTTTTTTAGATATATTGATTTTAGTGATGTAGCTACATGGCGTTTTTAGTCAAAAAGTGGTAAATGTTTAAAAAATCGCCAAAAATCAGGGTTTAAAGCAAATTGCAAATTAAGGACATGTAAAGACGCAGCTCAACGAGTTCTTTAAAATGGCTATCTCGAATTTTCCATAAAATGCGTTTTTCACCCCTAAAAATTCAAAAAACTATATTTTTTGGAAAACAGCTAATAAAATCCAAAATTTTAAGAATTTCCAAAAAAACGGAATATATGTTGTAGAGCTCTATTAGGACATTAGATGCCCCAAATTTCAACTTTCTATCTTGATTTTTGACCCCCAAATTGTAAAAAATAGCTCCAACATGCATAGGGCATGGTGACGTCATAAGCATTTTCGTGAATTAGAGGCACTTCTGAACATCACATGTGAAAACAAATGGCACCACTAGATTCCTGGGACAAAGCTCGTCTAGAAAAATGCATTTTTATGTCAAAAATAAAAAGTTGAAAAATTGACTTTTTTTCTTAGCCCTCGTTTAGTATGGTATAAACGATTTTTTATGCTTTCAATGCACACTTATCACCAGCACAGTGACTAGGGGTCACATATAACCATTACCATCGGATTCGGCGTGAAAAATAAGCCATAAAACATGTGTCGCACGCCCATGTAGCAGAAAGTGAAAACCGTGACCTTTCGTGACCTGACCTGACCTTGACCCGTACTTAGTATGACCCCTATACGCACATGGTACCTTCACTAGGCCTTTGAGGTCATTTTTGGGGAGTTTCGAGCAGCAGCTATCGATTCCGCTGTCCGTAAGCCTAATCATGCAAAACCCCTGAATTTGACCTTTGACCTGACCTTGACCCGAAAGTTGACCTCAATCTTAAAATCTTAAGAGTGCTTTGGGAAGGTCTCGTAGAGACCTTTCGAACGCCGCCTCGCGGGGCTCGATACGACCATTGGTTCTAGAGATAACAGGGGGGGGGGGGTCGGATCCGACCCCCCCCCCCCGGCTGTCGTGGGTACGGAAATAGCCCAGGCGGTGCCGGGTTAATAATAAAAGTAAACACCCTGTCAGTGTCATACTGTCGCATAGGTAGTTCAATTGGGCGATATATAAACAAAGCTCGCATTGTAAAAAGCTGTTATTGTAAAAAAAGCAAATTGTGTAAAAAACATTGTAAAAAGCAACTTATTACTTAATACATAGCAATGATCTCGAAGAAAACAATGAATAAGGCATGTTATAGTGATATCGTTAATGTCCTGTTACCCTAATGTATTGCTATGGAGTAGGTGGCAAAACAAAACACCCTAATCGGTGACCACAGCTTTGAAGAGTTCCGAACACGAGGTGGGAAACGTGAATGTCTCAAGTAGCATAGCCCTACCTGAGCATTGTTTACCAACTATGCATTTGTGTTCGTGATCGATCGCACCTTTGGTCTGAGGTGCGGCCTGACCATACGTTCTCCCCCATGAGGTAATGGCGCCCGAAGGCACGACCCGACCTGTTGTATAACATGGCGCCGTTCGCAGGTGGTCATAATGCACGTCCTCTGCCGCACGGTCTGCCGTGTGCTCTGATAAAAGGGGAGTCGATGTCGGAGCGGTGGAAACTCAGTGTGACACCATGGCTGCTCTAAGGAGCTGCCCAGTCGGCTGTCTGGTGGTGCTCGTGGCAGGTGTGGTTGGAGCTCTTCCCGGTACGTTAAAACTTGGCTGTCCTTTGGACTGCGCATTTGATAAAGATGGATATGAGGACCAACATAAAACCTACGAATGTTGGCTTATCTATGCATTTAGCCTATATTTTTTTTGCAAAGGTAATTTCGTATTTGTAGTCGTTTTTAATTGTATCCCTGGAATGCATTTATTTTTTTGTGTGAAGATTGCTTATGATACCATTGTCGGCAGCATCCATTACCCAGCGGCCCTTCGCAGGCGGTGTTTCAGCGTTCGGTCAGGTGCACTTTTTCGACCTGGTTCGCTGGGAGGAGGTCGGGTGCCTGCCAGAGCAGTTCGAGCAGCACCTGCCACCGCCACTTTGGGTGAGGGTCATCACGTGCCGCCGAGAGTCTGGGGTAGATGCTGCCGGTCGGCCGCTCCGACCTGACGACTTCAGCCACGACCGGGCACTTTATCTGCACTGCCTGGCAGAAAAGTGAGTCGTCGCCGACAGTACGAGAGCCAATTATCGTACTTGATAACGCTGTTTCTTGTAATGTTTTACTCGATGTTGATTTGTTATGTTCAATGTCCATCACCCGTTATACACTCAATGTCTGTTCAATGACTTATGCTTAATTGTTTTAGAGGAAGGGGAGAGAAATAAACCTAACGAACGGCAGCGGCCAAATGAATTTAAAGCAATGTTTTCGTGGTCAAAGCATCTTTTCTAAATCTGACAGACTGGGTATCATCCATGACTCCGGCATCAACTACGACAAGGTGGACGCCTTCCTGGACTCCCTTCCGGGTAACACCACCTTCATCAGTCGCTGGAAGACCGCCGCGGAGCGCTGCAGGGCTGACGTGGACGCCTCCCTCACCGCAGCCCAGCAGGCGGTCTTCCTTCTCACCTGCCTCCGTCAGAGGATGATGTTGGACTGCGCCACCAAGACCGGTCAGATCTGCCTCAGTACACAGTTCTACACTCCGCCCCGGCTCTCCGAGACCATCCCGGGGTACCGCCGATCGACGATCACACGGCTTTGTCCGGCAGAGGTAGCCGCCATGAGACTGATACCCGAGGAAGGCAGCACGGCTCGCACCGACCTCTGCCCGCAACTGCTACAACATGTGGAGGCTCTCGCAGCCTGCATGCTGAGGAAGACGGGGCAGGCCAGTGGTGAGACGCTGAACCTGCCGGCAGTCAGGGAGGCGGTCCGACAGAGGGGTGAGGCCGGGGATCAGTACGGAGCCGCCCAGCAGATGGAGGTTCTGGAGCGGTGTCAGAGCGAGTCCGTGGATGGTTTTGTGCGGTGCTGGGTGGCCAGTGCTCCCGAGATGGCTATCAATAATGTAGCGCATCGGCAGGCGATGGCACTAGATTTCTGATTTGTCTGAGGGCTTGCTTGTTTAAAATTGGCGAATATGCCGATAATTTACGGCAAAACCTACGGAAAAGATGTGAATTATCAACTGAACCTGTGCACGGTAAGGAAAGAAACCATTGGCCATTGTGGCCAGTGATTCGATAACCATGTACCTACTGTTTGCTATGGCGGAACTGCCGGCTGGCTGAAACGAAACAACTCACACAAATACACCATCGTATCGCCTGATGTTGTGTATTGGCCTGCATGCACGCTCCCCACATCAACGGGCTTGTTGTTCCGTGCTCCCGCCAGGGATCACTGGATACGACCGTCCTCCATTCGAAGCTGCCAATAGCTGCGGGCTGTGAACTCTATGTAGGCGGGCCTAACAGAACGTTCTTCTCAGTTTATGGCGATAACCGCGGAATTCATGAGGCAATAACCTTTTAACTGCTCGTGGGTACGTCGTCTGCAGCAGCAGACAGTCACGAAGGCTCGGATGCGGTTGTCGGTCCTGAGGTCAGGATGTGGGACGTGCAGATGTCGGAAGAGTGTGTAGGTGTCTGTACGTTCATACATGACTAGGCCTCGAAGCTGGCTCCCCAATATTTTTATCGGAAAAATATATATTTATTTTTTAAAGGAAACGTTAACTATATGTACACACAACACTAGTCTGAATTTTCGCAAGGGCCAATAAATGCCGTAATCTTTGCTTGCCGTAATCCATGGTCAACACGTTAAGAGATTTTTTTAGTTCGCGGAATTGAAAGACGCAAGCTTGGGGCCCTGATGACCAGCTAAGCATTTTAGCAGAAATTTAGTTAATAGATAAAGGCTTTTTGCGTCCTTGGATGATTTGCAGCCCTCCCATTTGCCTGTGACATTTGCATCGGCATTTTTGTGTGCAGCTGCACCTCAAATGTTCATCTGTCAAACATCTAAGAGATAAACGAGGAAACTATAATCCCCGACCATGGTCACCGCGACCAAGGCCTGGGTATTTCGGGCGATAGGCATAGGTCCTCTAGCGTAAGCTCAGGAATTTATATTTCTCGTCCTGAAACATACACTTTAAGTAGCGCACAAGTGAATTAATTTTAATGTGATATCCTCGTCACCATGATATGAATGCTCTTTGTAACCACCAACCACCTATCAGAGATGATAGCAAGCTCTGATAGCATTATAGTCACTCAACAAAGGTGGCTGAACCAGTCGTAACAGACGACCTTCATAGTGCCTTAAATAAAAACATGCGGTTTGCCGTGACATTGAGTTTTATCTGATTGTGCCGCTAAATAACCAAACTCGGCGCCTAAACCACAGAAGACATCAACGGCGAGTCATCCTTACATTAATGCTTTAATGCCCACCACAGAAGGAATTACCACTTCTCTTGAGCTCGTCAGGATATACCTCAAATCAAGGAAGCCAAAGCAAGGCGTGACAATTCTCTTCCTCTTCCTTTACTATGCCACATACATGCGACCTCTATTTCAACTTTCAAGATTCCATCGACATCTGGTAATCGCCAGTGAAGTCTGTTGACAAACTGCTTTCAGATGGATGAACAGCTTGGTCTCTTCAGTACAAACAAATAGCATCTAGAATAGCATCACATACGGAAGTCCAAACCTTGCACACTTTGTATTTGCTGGAGCTTAAGTTCGTTTTTGCCACATGCGTTCATGCATGTGTTTTAAATGTCGTTTTCACCTATTGCCAAATAAACGATCAGTAAATAAACATCAATTAGGACAACTACAAGCAATTCTGAGTTCACATGCTGCTTAATCCTGCCATTGACAGTGTTTTTCCCTCAGTGCTATTCTCCTGCTTCGTCTTCCGTCATCCATCTGCAGAGGTGCTCACTGCTCTCGGGAGAGCAGTGACTGACGGGACCGTCAGTCGCGTCGAAAAGCTGCTCTCCCGTCAGCCGTCCACAGAGGTGCCGCACCGTCGGTCCACCCCTCTGCGTGGGTTCGGTCTGATCACCACGTGGGTGGTCATGGTGACCTCACCTCACTGGCCGCTGACATGGGAACCACTAATGCACGGTTCACGTCCCACTGACGTCATCATCCCATGGAAGCTCGACGGACACCGAGCCGCGGATCGGTGAGTCCTGGCCAACATCCAAAACATGCCTTTTGGATATTGGAACCGCTTGATCAAATACTTTATTTTAAACGATTCTCCGATTTAGAAACCTTTTGTTGTGACGGTGAATTTGCATTAACCCGCGCCGTGCTGAACCCGCGCCGTGCTGGAGTGTTTTTTTTTTCTGCGAATGCGCCGCCGTTTTTGGTACACCTGTTTATGCATTTTTTTCCGCACATGTTGTGAAAATTTCACACCCGGGTCGTTCAAGGTCAGGTCATCAGGTCACATCAAGTGACCCTACCTCAGAAAAAGTTCAAAGGATTGTTGTAGCTACACCGACTGAACGATTACTTTGAAACTTTCAGCGATTGATGAGAGTAACAGTATGTACATTGTACCTATATAAAATTCTATCTCGGATTTTGATAACTGTGACCTAAGGTCAGGTCAATTTTACGACCTCTCCATTATAAGTCAATAGGAGAAAATTGATGCGCCTCTTTTGGACGAATGTCGTTCTAAACCTTCTCAAACATCTGTCCATAGGTAGGGGAAGTTGGGGGAACGCCGAATACTTTTTTTCTGACGCCCGTAGCACGCAAGGTAGACAACATAAGCTATTCATGTTGGCGTCATTCGAGAGGCCAGTCTTTTGCCTTTCAAACGTACCAGGCGCATTTGACGAATTCGCATACCGTTAAGCGCACAAACTAAAAATATCAAAGTAGTGACTTTTTCGGCGTTGCCCCGGACTGCGGGGAAAGCCGAAAATGGGAGAAATGATCTACGAGGAATGCCAAAATTTATGTTTTGCCACTTTATCTCAAACTTTATCCAGAATTCATCAAAGCTGATGAATTCTGGATTCTGGATTCTGGATAATAAGAAAAGGCCAGGTAAATCATTCCTTATAGGCAACAGGCCGTTGTGTCGGTTAAAAGTGTAATATGTGTGACTAAAAATACGCGTTGCTATTCTACAGCAGTAAAGTCCACGTAGCGTGCTTCAACGTGCGTAATTGCACGTTTTCGGCATTACCCCAGCCAGCCATACTTTTATTTGCAGGCCCATAACTTTTCAACGTGCTGTTTAAATTTCAAATAGGCAGCACACTTATGCAAAGACATGCTGAAGATTACTTGACCGAATTGGCCAGACAAACGGTAGCATAATAAGTAAGAAATACAGCTTCAAAGGCGCATGAGTGCAAGAGAAACGTACCTTGAAAACGCTCTTGGCGCCCTCACACCCGAAGTATTTCGAATGACGACTCGTAACAAACATGCGATAATTGTAGTCACTTAAGCTTCAGAGCATCACTGACAGGTGGCATCCATGTCGAACGGTTCTCGAAATATCTCGAATTTCGGCTTTGCCCCAACTCCGGCATTACCCCAACTTCCCCTAAACATGACACACTGAATAGGAAAATTGCACCTGTGGCCCCTCTGTGTGCCCTTGAGGTTATCTCGGGTCATGGAAGGTCACCAGCAGTTTTTGTTAACTATAACTTTTGAATTGATAGAGACGTGCTAGAGCGGTGAAAACGTCAGATATGTTCAGCTTGACGATACGGATCGACTGATATGCAACATGATCCTTTCCGGTCAGGTTATGACCTTAGCCTGAGGTCAAATCTTAAAAACGACCTTTCAAGGTCAGGTCATAGTTTATTCGACGCGTCTCGACGAGAGGAACACGTTCCTGGTAAAACTATTCTCATTGCTCTCTTGAGTCAAAAGTTATTAACGTAAAACACTTTTCGTGAAAACTGTCATTTTTAGAGTTTTTGCCCAGGCACAGTCAAGAACGCCCTGAGTTTTGCCCCTTGCGAGAGGAAGTGGTTTCTTTGCACAAGTAAGCAGAGCTGATTGCAGCAGCCATTAGCGTGCAAAGCACTACACAACAATGTCTACTCTTTTCCAAAGCCCAGGAAACAGCTCGCTCTGTGCAGTGGGCTCGGTGACCCTGACTTCACCAGTCAGTCGGGCACGCCTTCCAGCCTCGACCACGTCATGCCTGGCGTGGGCGAGCTGCTGCTGCACTACGCTCCGTGGCCGGGACGTTTCACCCCCCCCCCCCCCCCGCCGGCAGCTGCCATCGGCACTCAGCCGTCGCCGGCGCCGGCAGGCAGCCAGATGGCACTGCTCGCACCGACTCGACGGCCGCTCGGCACACACCTCCCCTCCGTCCGCAGCTCCCCGACACACACCGCGTGAGGTTCAGAGGCGGACAGTGGTGCTACAGGTGTCGACATGTGGAAGTGTGTGCTGGTTTTGCTGGCCGTCAGCGCCTCAGGTACGATCAGAGAGGATGTCAGTGGGAGGAGGGAGGGGGAGAGGGTAGAGTCGGTAGATGAAGTATGTAATCGGAATGGTTTGGGGCTCGTGGCAAGATTATGGCTCAGGTGCAATTCAATATTGGGATGTGGGGTTCGATATGGTTTCATGTATGTTAACGAGCACAAATATTTGATGGATATTCCACTGAAATATACCTATTGATTGAGTAAATTCATAATGCATATAATGAAATCAACACCTACGGTACGTTATATTTCTAGTGTACATACAGGCATAAGATCGTTGATTGATTATTTCACTGAGCTTCGAGACATTTTAATTACAACTATTGCGTTCCTTGAAACTCATACGTTCGTGCAAGAGCAGACCGGTGAAGAGCAATGCATAAGTTATTTTATGTTACCAGCATCCACTCACTGATCATAGTACGAAGATGATCGTTCATTCTAGCACAGCATCTGAGTTACGTAGCACATATGTTGCTCTCAGCGAGCAAGAGGAGGAATGACAAAAAGAGGAACATTCGTTTTAAAACGGCGTACAATATTTCACGATTTCCCCGCATTGGAACATTCTACATTCCCAAATTACCGGTTACACTTCATCATATATTAAATGAATGAATTTATGCGCGCATTTTTATTTCCATTTGCAACGCTCAGACAGATTGCATTTATCCATCGAACGACGTTCGTCTGAAGCTTGATCATCTGCAATAGGGTTGGCACCCGCAGAGTAAATTGAATGTTTCCTGTGAATCCGATTTAATCAAATTAAAATGTGGGATTGATGTTAGAAATCCTAACAATATATTTCAACCAAAACTGCAATGATCTGTTTCTCGTTTAGAAATAAGCCAACCATCAATCTTTAAGGCAGGAACGTTTGGCTACAACGGCTACAAGCCCTTTACAGCCTGCTTTAATAGTAGG